AATTGATGTTTGTATATATGAGACTACCATAGAGCAGCGCTGTTTCTATTAATCAACACTCAGATAAAGGAGCTATTTATAGCCTCGCAGCTCAGATTGTAACAAAAATCATAGCCGTGCTCAATAATCGACTCCCCCCCCCCCTCCCCCAACCACATACACACTTTTCTCCTTTGCACGTAGAGTAGTTTCCCGCCTAACACTTCCGGCATATGGCGTCAGGTGACGTAAACACACTTATATAAAAAGTGATCCAGGCTGCCAGAATTACATTTTTCTTAACATAGCAAGCACACACAAAACTTATTGGCTACCTCATTCCTGGGTACAAAGAAAACGATAACTTATTTGCTACCTCATTCCTGGGTACAAAGAAAACGATAAAGACTAAAATCTGCTGGACGCTAAATTTTATATAAGATTTTGTGACGTCACAAAATTTCACACGATTAAAATTTAGATTTGTTTTTTTTAATCTCAAAACTGATTAGTTTACCTCGTAATACAATATGTTGCGTCTTCTAATTGTCATTTATGTTCAAAGTTTAAAGAATATCTTGTTATGAGCAGTTGATAACTTATTAAGTCAATTATATTTCCAAAGACTAAATTTCCTGGATAATTATGAAACAATTTTTTTAATTACTTTTATCATCTTTTAAGAATTTTGTTTATGGATAACTTGAAAAAAAAATTTTTTTTTGCTATGAGACTTTTTCGTCACCTTATAGCAACCATATTAATTTTCAAGTACAACTGAATTTTGAAGGGATTGTTAAAGATTAATTTTAAAAACATTGTTTTCTCAAGCACTATCTGAATGACTCCTTTTGACTTGGACTGGAAAAAACTACAAAAACAAACAATTACTCCCCTTTTGTGTGCAGATTAGGTCCCTTCGATCCCTTAGCATTGCTTTGCAACTAACACTTATTGGCAAAATAATTTGTAAAAAACTGTCACTCGGAAAAAAAGAGACGAGATTGACATTCGTTTATAATGTTGTAGTAAAGATTTATTTTGTTCACTATAGTTTTCAACAGTTTGACACAACATCAAGTAATTACAAATTCACAAAACAAAAAGTCAATGTAAGATTAATACATCGCGAACAATAATTAAAATATGTACAAAACCACAAAGGTTTTGAAGTTTTCAAACACTCTATCGGTCACACATTTGTACAGTGGACAGTAAAGTCTGTAGAGGCCATCCACACATTTGCTATATGTACACTCCTGGCAGACACACTTTCGTAAAATGTAGCCTACATCATGACAAACCACATTTGTTTAAAATGAATGGTGTACATTATTACAGACATGTACACTTTCATATTTGTCCCTACTTTAGACAATTACAGCTAATTTCTAATTTTTGTGATTTACCAAAGGTCACTCTAATATTCATCCAAAGGTTACCTTTGTCTAATATTTACACTTTGTGGTTTCTAACAGCTAACTGTTAACTGGGGAATAGTCTAAAATGTGGGTTTCCAACCTTTTAGGTTGTGACTACCAAAGAGTCGAAAATGGTTTTCCAAAGGGTTGGTGGCTGAGACATTTCAAATTTTTTTAAGTCAGTGCCTTCAGGTTTGATAATTCATAATGCTCACATTTGCTTCTTACACATCTGGGAGACCATAGATTTTTTCACACTTCTTTAGTTTATTTGAAATAACAGAAAAAAAATTGGAATAAGGTGAGTTTAGCAGTAAGGAAAACTCAACAGAGAATTTTGAGGCATTTTTATTTTATGAGTTACAATTTGAAGTAACACATTAAATGAGTCCAAAGTTACAATTATCAAGACACATATGTTTTGAAATATATTTTTTTTCAATTATTTTTTTGTGTGTGTTGCTTTTACCCAATTAAAAATCTTTTATTTTTTATTTTTGGGGTCACATGTCAATTCGTTTCTAGAAGGTGGGCTGGCATCTCAAAAAGATTGGGAACTTTTGGTCCAAAAAACTAAATTTGTTTTGCTTAACCATAAGAAATGTGTTTTCATACAATGCAAGTCTGGATTATAGCTAAAAGTGTAATCTAAAACATGTTCCACATTTAAAGTTCTGGTCATAATGTCCATTAAGTCATTAATTATTAGTGGAAAACAATACTTTGAAATAAATTTACTGGTAGCATAATTCAAAGTGCACGGAAATTAGAAGTCTTTTAAATACAAAGCAGTATAAATCCATTATGATCATTGAACAAAAGCAACCAATGTCACAAAAGCATGGACAAATTTTGTTGGTTCACTTCCAGTGATTCTATTTTCACTTTATTTAGACCCTTCACATTCGTTTCCACCCATAAAGTAATAAAAAAAACCTATATGAGCAAGTAGATACTGAGGACATAATTTGGTTTTAAAGAGAAAAACAATTGGCTCTAAAAAGAAAACAACAGAAAAAATCATTCTGGCTCACACTTTGTTTGATATATTAATGTAAGCTGGCAAATGTATGTAGGACCTAGACTATGCTGGCAAATGTATGTAGGACCTAGACTATGCTGGCAAATGTATAAAGGACCTAGACTCTGCTAACAAATGCATGTAGGACCTACACTATGCTGGCAAATGTATGTAGGACTATGCTGGCAAATGTATGTAGGACCTAGACTATGCTGGCAAATGTATGTAGGACTTAGATTATGCTGGCAAATGTATGTGTGACCTAGACTTGAGTACATGGTATTTAAAAAAACAACATTCACCATCTCCAAAACAAACATTTCTTTATATTGAAACAATTATTGTTATGTATGGAAAAAAACAACAATATAACAAAATATTTACAATTCCATTATTGATGGAGATAACGTCAGCCTAAGTAATGAACAATATACAACCTGAATCTTTAGTTTATAATATTTACCAACTAAATTGTATACACCAATCCCGTCAAAGAGATTTGTTTTAGCCTAATTCAACCCTTCAGTTAAATAGACAAACCAGATAGGAATTAATGCATAGTAGTATTACTGCCAGACACTATTAACATAGTTGCACTGAGATAACATAATTAATTTCTTTATTTTTAAATTACTTTCACTCGAAATATCATGCCAAAATCATTCTTCATCTAACACAAAAAAAGGACACAATAAATTTTTGTAAAAATCATAGCTTATGGAAATTTAAAATCCACTGGAACTAAGTCAGAGAGTAACTAGCAAATGAGAACAAAAGTTAAGAATTATTGGTTGAGGAAAATGCAAGCACATGTACAAAAAATAAATTCATATTTTTCCTAAAATGATGAAGTTGATTGACACCCTATGATTAGGAAACTTTTAAAACTGTTTATCCAACTATTCTCCAAACAAAGCCTGGCTGGCACTTTTTGCACAAGATACAAGTCACGGTCTATTCTCTAAACAAACCCTGGCTGTCACTTTTTGCACAAGATACAAGTCATGGTCTATTCTCCAAACAAACCCTGGCTGGCACTTTTTGCACAAGATACAAGTCACGGTCTATTCTCCAAACAAACCCTGGCTGGCACTTTTTGCACAAGATACAAGTCACTGTGGACTCATTAAAATCGCCTTTGCGGTTACTTCTATTAAACAGGTATCTAGAGGAGGTTCTTTTGATTGCTGCTCAAGTCATTGCTATGTCTGTCTAATGATCATCAGCCAGTTTCACCAAGGTTGCACAATGGTTTAGAACCGGTGCACTTCACCTTTACAAGAATCAAACACTTTTTAGGTTTACATTTTTTTTTATACTTTTTGTTTTTACATCTCATAAATTTTTTTATGTCCCATTCTTCGTTTTGCCGCAGAAGACTTTTGGCCAACACATGACCCCCACCCCAACCTGTTTACTTATCACATCCAGAAATTTCCCAACCACAATTGCAGTTATCATTTCTTTATGTACCAACCTTAACCAGTGGCGTTGGAAGTTTGTTGGGGTGGGGTGTTCCCAACCCTGGCGATACAATGTCTTGCTATACCACTGAACTAACAAACATCATCTGAAACTTTAAATTATTTTCTGCCAGTGTTTATCAAAAATGTCATGCCAATATTTCAGGTGAACTTGGGTGATTTTCAATTATGCTGTGAATCATGACATGATATACATTTTGTTTTAATGTACAACAAATTATGATTTTAAATATGAGTATTTAGTTCACCAATTTTATAGCAATAGAAAAGCCATTAAATAGAGTAATATATATATATAAATATATATATATTTATATAGATTTGTGTGTATCATTATATCATCTAGAAAAACATTCATATAATAAAGACAAATATTTCCTTAACGTATTTGTTGATCAAACAAATCAACATTTCAGTCATCATACAGTCATCAGTAAATGGAAGTTGGCAGTATTCAACAACAAGGGGGAGGACTGTCAATTCGCCATCTTAATGGGATTTACAATAGTAATGGAGATTAGAAAATACTTAAAATAAATTTATTTCAAATTCTCCATTGGTCCAGTCAACAAATTAGAATGCCAAATTTCAAAGCTAATTTTAAATTCCTTCGTAAAGGTCTTTTAAAAGTTTAGTTAATAAAAATACAAACTTTACAGTTTATAAATGGAGTCCCAAATTTAAAAAAAAAAAAGGAAACTTAATTTGGAGAGTATCAGAATTTTGTTAAGTAAATTGAAAAAAAATAAATCATTTTAAAAGTTAATTATGAAAAAAAAAAAAAAAATCACCCATCAATATCTGACCTCTACTGTTGTCTTGGTTTAATTATAGTTTATTTATTTGAGGATGAAAATGTGATAGTTTCAAACACATTCTGAAATTCTTTTAAAATAAAAAAAAAAAAATAATTTATAAAGTAAATTATAAAAAAAAAAAAAAAAATCACCCATCAATATCTGACCTCTACTGTTGTCTTGGTTTAATTATAGTTTATTTATTTGAGGATGAAAATGTGATAGTTTCAAACACATTCTGAAATTCTTTCTTTTTTTTTTCTTTTTGAAACTTCTTTTTAAATAAGACAAATTGAAAAATTCTGAATTTCAAATAGCAGCTTTTGTGTACTAAAGTTTACTTTAAAAAAATTTAATGTGCACTGAATGTGCACAAGAAAATTTAAATGTCCCCTGGTGACCATGATAACATAAGTATCAAGAGTTGGAGACAACCTGTTTTAGTCAGTTGTAATTGAACATTCATGAAAAAAGATTTTATTTACAAATGAAATTGGCCCATAATATATTTGAATAAATGAAGCAGCCATGTTTGTTGTCTGTTGATGAACATAGAATCAAACTACAACAGTAATTGTATCTGAGATATTTAAACTTGGAACCAATTTTTGTAAGAACTATTTTACTTTACCAAATTACAATAATTAAGTAGTTAAATAATTTATTCAGGATGTCTTTTTTTAAATTTAAAATTGAAATTGTGAATATGACTAGGAGCTAAAAATATTTTAAATAAGTAAGAAAACTACTTATTATTATGGAATAAATGGTAAACAATCATATTAACATTACATTTTTTTTGGTTGTTATATTGCGAACGGACAAGACAAAGATAAAATGGAAGGAAATCTAGCCATAATCAATATTATTCTATAAAACATAGTTAGAAAACGATTTTTAACACTAAGGGTAATTTTGTTAAGCTAAAATCAAGATTTATTTTCCTTACTTCTCAAAATGGCTAACTTTGCTCAACTCAAATATTCCCCACACACTGTGTCATTAAAGATATCAATGTGGTGAAGGAAGGGGAATGCGGAAGGGGCAGTCTGCCCCGAGCTGCACTTTTTTTTAAATCTGGAGGGAAGCATTTTTGACCATTGACATAATTTTTGTGTTGAAGTTTTGCAACACATGGAAATAAAATGCTAAATACGTTTTATATAAAGAGATTATATTTACCCTATGTGTTCATTTCTTTATTAATTTTTAAACATTCTTAACTTTATATTTAACCAATCCATAACTGTGGCAAATCTTATATTACACTCGGAGCATTAGGAACGGGAAATCAAGGTTTTTTTAAAAAAAACTCTGCAACCAATTGGATAGTTTAGTTCCTAGCTTGTGTCTGACCGCAGGACTGAGATGAAGTCCATCTTGGGTGGGATGGATGTTGGGGGAAGTTTCTCCTATCATGCTGCTTTATGTCCCACATTTACGGCTATAAGGTAGCCAGGTTCTGTCCACAATTTCCTTTCATCTACATTTTATGATAAAATCGTCACAGGGATCTGAACATTTTATATTTTGATTCTATCAAAGGAAGTCCATGGCTTTGGTCAGTTTGTGCACTGGTGTAATCAAGACTGTTTAAAACAAGACTTCACCGCCACTATAGCAGTTGGAATGCAGTGTCTTGAAACACCTCATGCTATAATAAATACATAAGAGGTGCTACGAAGGTTCACCATCCATAACATCTTAAGAGTTTAAACATGTTTTAGGATGGTCACTCGCCATTTATATGCTTTGACAACATGACACCTCCTGGTGCATAACTAAATGGAAGATTTATATGCTTTGAAACATGACACCTCCTGGTGCATGACTAAGTGGAAGGACCTATGTTGATTGTCAGCCAATGTTACAGAGGTTACCTCAACAAGGATGTAAAAATAAGTGTCTCTTGCTATCTCGTCTCCTCCTTGTTTGCATCGTCCGTTTCCCCTAGGTACACCCCACTCTCACAGCTGTCCACCCACGACTGGCTGCGCTGCATGGTTGTGTTGGTCCTGGGGCCGGTTTCCTTAATGTCTTCCGTCTGGTACACCCGCACACGGGGCAGGCGTCCGGTGAGGAGCATGTAATGACGGATGGTGGATGCGGCAGCTTGACACAGCAGCCGTCCACATAGAAGGGAGGCTATCACGGACGTAAAGGTCGTCAACATCCAGTGGGAGAGGTTTAAAAGTGGAGTCACCTCCTTCATGACGACATTGTCCATGTAGGACAGACTCAGATCTGTGGACATAGCAGGGAGAAATACATCAGGCTTTTGACATAAACCCACGGGTGATAAAATGTTTGAAAGACATGCTAAGCAACAATAAGACCACATAAATAGTCTCATCCTGAAAATGAAGCTTAACTGGAACAATATTAAATACTTATTATTATTTTTATTTTAAAAGTGAGAAAATGTAAAAATTTGATTCAAAACTTACCATGGAAAGTCTGAGCCTGAATAGGTAGGAAATTACAGCCAACAATTCTCCCCCCTGGGGACTTAAAAACAGTCAGCTCATCACAGTTGTCTTTCTTGGCTTCTCTGCACAATCTCTGCAGTGTTGTAGTCAGCATGGATGTCTGGGAGGAAATCAAATAATTTAAGTCCATTAATTCAAGAGTATTACATTCTATGATGTCTGGTTAGCAAAAGGACGAAATTTGACATTAAACAAGATCCCAAAATTACTTAAATTTATCAGAAAAAATGCTGGGTTTTTGTACTACCTACAGTTCTTCAATGGCTATTAAATTACTGCATAATTTTTGTTAGAATTACTTTTATAAATTTGGTTACCCAAACTGTCAAGTATGTCTTCAAGCATGGAACTATTTATAGTTTAGCGGCATATATGTTACTGGTTAGTTGAAAATGAGCCAAAAATTTTGATTGGATAATTTGAAATTTACTTTCCCTATTAAGGGAAATAACCTACTTGTAAGTTTAAAGTTGAAAAGAACATGTCAGTCAGGGTGTTGACTTCAAAGTCACACAACTCTTTGATCCGATGGAGTTCTAGGGTCAGTTGATATGCCAGGCCCTGGAGGTAACGGGAACTTGTGTCCAGGTGCCAGTGGACATCAGCAACAGCAGACTGACCACCAACAAGTGTGCGGAAGTTCTCTTCCGTAAGCCAGAACTGTACACAGTAAGTTAAAATACACAGGAATGTGACGGCTATGAAGGTCACAGAGCCCTGGGGGGAAAAAGTTATTTTTAAAATGAAATAAATGATGATTTATCACTTCTGAAAATATGCTCTTAAATATCTTTAGTACATTTTAAAAGGCTAAATTCAATGATGACTGGTCATAAAGTTGACTGAATGACTGGTCATAAAGTTGACTGAATGACACTTTCAATGACTGAATGTAAAAGAAACAACAAAAAACCATACCTGCCATACAAGTTGGGATAAGAATAAACGCTGTAAAAATTTCTTCAGGTCGTCAAACCAGCGAACAAGAAAACACTTCTGCATGCGCAGGGTTGCAGGATCCTCGGGTCTGTTCATCTTTTCATTCCAAATCTTCTGCAGGATGTCATCTTTATCTTTCATTTTGGGAAAGTCCTGCAGGAAGGTAATCTCGTTCTCACCGAACAGCTGCTCCTTGACATCTACATAAAAGCCTGATGACTCATCCAAAGGATTCTCAAAAGCAGGCAGATGGTATGCTGTTTGGATCTCCAGAACCTGCTTACAGGTGTCATCCGTGGGGATGCGGTCGGCGTACCCATGCCGGGCGGCGTACAGCTGGTTGCTGAGCCATGAAATACGATACACCCACAGAACTATATCCAATGTGATGAATATAGCAATGAGCAAAGAAAACAAGTGATTGTCTTGTGACTGATCTGCATCTGATGGTGGAGTGGGTTGTGTCGTTGCCAACTCGGACATCTGGTCACTGATGAAATTTGCCGTTTGTTTGTCTCCTTGGATGTTCACCACATTTGTTTCCAGTTTTTCAAATGAAAATTCTTCCAAATCATTGGCGTGGTTGGTCGGTGGAGTTCTGGGCCTTGGTGCTCGCTCTGTGTAATAGCTAGAGTAATCTTTTACTTTAGACTTTCTGCGAGACAAAACAGTATCCCGTTCTGGTTTGACATCTTGCAACCGAGAAAATTCCCGGCCATCGGGATTAGACTTAAGGTTTCCACTGAGTCCAAATTCATCTGCGTCTCGTTTCTGTCTAAGATCTGTCCATGTCGATGACCCGTTTGACTGAAGTTGGTCCATTTCAAATAATGGCTCTAGCACTGTATATACATAGGAGTGACTATTGTAATCCAAATTGGGCTCAATTTTAGCAAGATGTGGATCAACTGATGGAAAGGTGATGTTTAGAATTGATAAATGAGGTCTTGAAATGCCAGCCATTCTGTCAAAGAAAAAAATCTTCAGTTCAATTTAGCAACAACAAAAACAATCACTCAAATAAAAAAATAGTTTAAAAAGTCTTGGTGGTTCTCAAATAGATTTATTTTTCCATGCTGGCAGCAATAGGTTCATTCGTAAGGAGGTTCACCTGTATTTTGACTTCAAGTATACTTCACTGTTCTACATTTAATTTTGTTCTTTTTTATCTAGGAGGGTTGGCAAAATAATATTCTAAATAAGTTCTCTACTGGGTAGACCCTAGAGTAGAGTTGCCATATCTAGGTGGGACCTCGTCGGGACACTCTGAGATAGGGGTATAGAAATGAAGGAAAAAATTTATTTGATATAATTACTTTTTATTTAGAACAAGAAGGTCTTTAACGGTGATGGTCCCGATATATCGGGACGGATGGCAACCCTACCCTAGGGCAGAACAAAGTTATTAGATAGCCCCTGGTTTAAACATCACAGAGTTGTTAGATAGCCCCTGGTTTAAACATCACAAAGTTGTTAGATAGCCCCTGGTTTAAACATCACAAAGTTGTTACATAGTCCCTGGTTTAAACATCACATAGTTGTTAGATAGCCCATGGTTTAAAGATAACATAGTTGTTAGATAGCTCGTGGCTTAAACATCACAAAGTTGTTAGATAGCCCCTGGTTTAAAATCACATAGTTGTTAGATAGCTCCTGGTTTAAACATCACAAAGTTGTTAGATAGCCCCTGGTTTAAACATCACAAAGTTGTTAGATAGCCCCTGGTTTAAACATCACAAAGTTGTTAGATAGCCCCCTGGTTTAAACATCACAAAGTTGTTAGATAGCCCCTGGTTTAAACATCACAAAGTTGTTAGATAGTCCCTGGTTTAAACGTCACAAAGTTATTAGATAGTCTCTGGTTTAAACGTCACAAAGTTGTTAGATAGCCCATGGTTTAAACGTCACAAAGTTGTTAGATAGTTCCTGGTTTAAACATCACAAAGTTGTTAGATAGCCCCAGGTTTAAACATCACAAAGTTGTTAGATAGCACCTGGTTTAAACATCACAAAGTTGTTAGATAGCCCATGGTTTAAACATCACAAAGTTGTTAGATAGCCCATGGTTTAAATATCACAAAGTTGTTAGATAGCCCCTGGTTTAAACATCACAAAGTTGTTAGATAGCCCATGGTTTAAACATCACAAAGTTGTTAGATAGCCCCTGGTTTAAACATCACAAAGTTGTTAGATAGCCCCTGGTTTAAACATCACAGAGTTGTTAGATAGCCCTTGGTTTAAACATCACAGAGTTGTTAGATAGTCCCTGGTTTAAACATCACAAAGTTGTTAGATAGCCCATGGTTTAAACATCACAAAGTTGTTAGATAGCCCCTGGTTTAAACGTCACAAAGTTGTTAGATAGTCCCTGGTTTAAACGTCACAAAGTTGTTAGATAGTCCCTGGTTTAAACGTCACAAAGTTGTTAGATAGTCCCTGGTTTAAACGTCACAAAGTTGTTAGATAGCCCATGGTTTAAACATCACAAAGTTGTTAGATAGCCCCCTGGTTTAAACGTCACAAAGTTGTTAGATAGTCCCTGGTTTAAACGTCACAAAGTTGTTAGATAGTCCCTGGTTAAAACATCACAAAGTTGTTAGATAGTCCCTGGTTTAAACATCACAGAGTTGTTAGATAGTCCCTGGTTTAAACGTCACAAAGTTGTTAGATAGCCCATGGTTTAAACGTCACAAAGTTGTTAGATAGCCCCCGGTTTAAACATCACAAAGTTGTTAGATAGTCCCTGGTTTAAACATCACAAAGTTGTTAGATAGCCCCTGGGTTAAACATCACAAAGTTGTTAGATAGCCCCTGGTTTAAACATCACAAAGTTGTTACATAGTCCCTGGTTTAAACGTCACAGAGTTGTTAGATAGTCCCTGGTTTAAACATCACAGAGTTGTTAGATAGTCCCTGGTTTAAACATCACAGAGTTGTTAGATAGTCCCTGGTTTAAACATCACAAAGTTGTTAGATAGCCCATGGTTTAAACATCACAAAGTTATTAGATAGCCCCTGGTTTAAACGTCACAAAGTTGTTAGATAGTCCATGGTTTAAACATCACAAAGTTGTTAGATAGTCCCTGGTTTAAACGTCACAAAGTTGTTAGATAGCCCATGGTTTAAACGTCACAAAGTTGTTAGATAGCCCATGGTTTAAACGTCACAAAGTTGTTAGATAGCCCATGGTTTAAACGTCACAAAGTTGTTAGATAGCCCATGGTTTAAACATCACAAAGTTGTTAGATAGCCCCATGGTTTAAACATCACAAAGTTGTTAGATAGTTCCTGGTTTAAAAGTCACATAGAAGATGGTATTGAAATTAATATAAAATTTAAAAATTTAAAGAAAAACTATATAAAAGTTCATACTCTGTCACAAAATCCTTATGTTAATGTAGTGATTCATTCATAGTTTAGAATAAATTGGGTTAGAAAAATCGAAAGGAATATAGAAAGTTTAAGTTGTGTAAAGTAAATAAATAGTGGAACAAAATATATTTAGGCTGAAATAAAAACAGCAGAACAATTTAATGGATGTTTCAGCTAAATGTCTTCTTTAGCAGACAACATAAAACAAGAAATAAACTATTTAAAAATTAAAAACGTTTGTGTTCCCAGATGGCAATGGAGTTCTCTCACTCTCTGCGTAGAATCAAAAGCGCACTATGACTAACTTAGGTCACTCCTTAACTTTTTAATGTCTCACAATTTGTTATTTCTTGCTTTGTATTGTCTGTTGAAGACGGCATCTAGCCCAAGTGTCCTTTGTATTGTCTGTTGAAGAAGGCATCTAGCTCAAATGTCCTTTTGTATTGTCTGTTGAAGAAGGCATCTAGCCCAAGTGTCCTTTGTATTGTCTGTTGAAGAAGGCATGTAGCCCAAGTGTCCTTTGTATTGTCTGTTAAAGAAGGCATCTAGCCCAAATGTCCTTTTAATTCTTCTGTTTTTTTTCAAGCCTAAACATATCTTTTTCCACTATTTAAATTTAAGAGACAAATCCAGAGCGCCTTGTGCCATGAAAACAAAATTGCACCTCAATTACTTTGAGATGTGTCTTAGTGCTGTGTGTAAAGATAGTTCCCTTATTTTGCTTTTATAGTAAAATTACAAATCTACCAGCAGGTGTACTTATATGTTATAGTTACTAGTACTGAAAAATTCCCTATAATAGTAAAGTAATGTGTTTATTTACCTGCCGAAAACGTTGTCCCCAACAACCAACAACTCTTCAGCCTTGTCGATCCCCAGCCAAGTAGCGAACTGCTTGACTTGTGTAGATGACAAATACTTTCTGTCGACATCCTCCTCATCTTGGTACAGATAAATCTGGCGGGGAAACTTCAGCCAATCATTGAGGGCAGTGTTGCGGAGGAACAGGTAATAGTTGGCCTGGAACCTATTGACAATCGCATGAATTGTTTTGTTACAGTCTGTGACAAATTCATTGATTTGTTGCATGTAGACAGAAACATTGTGTTTCAATATCTCGTTAGAAAGATGATGCAGCATTCCGTCCTCAACGAAAATTGTCTCCACTTGTTTTTGGGTTGTGATCTCATAGTCGTACAAGAGTTTTCTGTTCTCGTTCTCCAGATGGTGGATGCAAGCTTCTCTCCGCTCTCTGTAAAGAGTTGCTAGGCGGAGTCGTTCCTTCTCCTCAAACTTTTGAATCTCCGTTAGAGATTTGTTGACCTGGGCCTGAAGCTCTCTGCCCAAATGTTCAGGGTTGGAGATGTTTGCCCAGACGGAGGTGTGAGAGTAGTAAATGATGACAAATGTCAGAGTGAAGGAAAACACGAGGGAATAAACTAAGTACAAGCAGATGAACGTGCGTATGGGGCAGGTCCACTGGGGCGTTGCAGCAGACGCAGACACAGTTTGATTGAATTTCTCCCCCTGGTTGTTGAGGGTGACCGCTTCACTTTCGGGTGTCGTGTTGGCCATCAGATAAACTCTTTTGACCTTCTTGTTGATGCACTTGTACATGATGAAGATGACCAGGAGAAGTGCCAGTGTAACGCTGAGCACAATAAACACAGGGGTCCATACTTTGTAAACCCGTGTCGTTTTGTCATCATTGGTAGATGTGAACTCCGGGTGGGTGGGCAGTTCAGATGATGTCGGCTTGACCTCATCCACGTGGATAGGGGAGTAGACTGATGAGAGGACCAGGTTGTGCGAGGTCACAGAATCGTTAACTTGAATGATGAAGATGTCCGGCAGGTCACTCATGCCGGTGCTGAAGTTGAAGGTCATTGAGAAGTTCTCGGGACAGTTCATTAACATGTCAAAGTGGCCTGCACACCCAGTCATTAGCTGGGTAAATATCTTCAGGCTGATAACTGTTGGACAATTCTCCTGCTGACCTGGTGGAGATAATGACATGTATTTATTCTGGTAACAAGTGATATCTTTAAATTGATGATTTAAGCTTTATGTTGTAGTTATTTATTGCTGTTTATAACTTTAAATATTTTGTTGAAAATAATCAATTAAAAAAAATAGAAAGCCATTTTTCTTTTCTTCATAAGTTTAAGATTGAAAATCTTCCTGAAATCTTATAAGAATTAAACATATGATTATACACGTAACATCTTAAGAAAATTATCATATTTCTAAATAAAGTTTCATGACAGTAAATCTGTCGCTGGCCTATAAATTAAGTGAGAGTAAGATTACATCTTTAAATTAAGTGAGAGTAAGATTACATCTTTAAATTAATTCTGAGAGTAAAGCTGTGTGTTAATTTAAGCGCAGTGACAGTAATAAATCAGCATGATTTGCCGGGTACTTACCTTCAAACAACAACTTCCATGTCGATGTATCATGGTGCCATGATACTCTGCCATACAAACTGCTTGGCTTCAATTTGCCTTTAACTATTGTACCTTGCAGCTGTTGTAGAACTGACTTGCCCTCTGTTATAGAAAAAATATATTTTGTTAAAACTAACAGTCAAGACAATAACACAAGGAGTTAGTGATCTTGGTTAAAATTACCTACTGATCAATTTTACATAAATTTATTTTTAATGATGTTTTTTTCCATTTAATACATTTTTTATTAACATTTATTTTGAAAACATTTAACTTTCAGTTTAATTCTAAAAGCATTCTTTTATAAGATAATATCAAGAGCATATTGAAATTGTTTGCAATTGATGGTTGAAGGGCACAAAATGTTTGGAACAGAGGATATTGCTAGTAACATTGCAGTAAATAAAAACATTGCATTATTGGGATCATACATTTTTTAAGCAGACCAAACAAGAAATATCTGACTTATCCTACTTAGAAGTTTGTACAAATATTAAACATCTCAAGTTTATGTCAATGAATATAACAAATGTTTAAACTATTTCAAATATTTATTTCAGAAATCAAAATAAAAGCATAAGCCCATTATTCTTTTATGAAACACATTTTCTGTAAATGCACTTAACTGTAGATTAAAATAATGGATATTGGCAACTATTTTTTTTAAACATCTGGGTAAGGAAATATGAAATACACATGTATGAGATAGCCTGTCATTACTACATTGCCTTGTTTGCTCTTCATCTTGCAAGCCTTCCCCACACCTACATACAACTTGACAGCATTGTCCCAAACATCGATGTTAACAGTTTCTTACTTTCCACGTAGAACTTGATGTACGGGGCCCTGTCTCTGTGATAAAGTTGGTAAGAAAATCCTGAGTTCTTGGAGCCACTGTTAGAACTGGGAGCTTCTAAGGTGTTCTTGCGTGCCATGACAGGGGTAAAGTCCTCCTTGTATATGGTCTGGTTTGGGTAGATCTGGTGGAAATAAGCACAAGGTTACAGCCCTATGAGGCTTAGCAAAGATAACTCAATGAAATAGGACATTTTTTTTTTAAATTTCAAAGCTCATTCTGATATGTTATTCATTAGCTCACCACAAATTTAAATAAATTAAAAATCGATTTAAAAAGAAGTTCACATACTGGCTACACATCAATGGCTAAGGGAGGAAACCAATAAATAGGTACTCAAATATAGGAAACCAACCCAGGCTAGACAATGTTAAAATATTTTCCAAATCATGTAATACCACTCACTACCTGTAACACTGTAGTTCAGTAATATTTTGATTTATTAATAGTATTAATGATACTAGTCCATGAAAACCAGTAATTATATTGTGACAATATTTCTAGAACAGAAAGGTTCTGTGTGACATTCATGTGACAGTTTTGTTGACCATGACATGGAACTGTATAAGAATGTACCTGTGAGATGTTCTTGTGACAACCGCCTCTATACCATGACAAGGAACTGTACAAGAATGGCCTCTCAAACTGGATGTAAGCTTGTTTAGAAAATGAATCCTGTGGGAATGCTTTGCGCTGCCTCAGTTCCCTGGGCGTCTTGATCTCACGCACGGTGAAAGGTTTCATCAGCGTGTCGGAGTAGTGCTTCAGCTCCATGTGGTCTCCAACCAAGACAAGCTCCTCCTCAACCTTTAACCTTGTGTCATGTTGTGCGTTGATGAAATCAAATCTTAAAAATTGAAGAAAAAAAAATTATGCCGTGATATTGAGGACAACTAACTTGAGATTTTTTACCAACTTTTAAATATAAGCCCTTCAGTTACACTAACAACATAGAGCAAATAAGGATGGATAATTTTTTTTTATTTAAAACACTGTCTTTTGTTTGATGTCTATCAGTCTGATGTCTTTTAGTTTGATGTCTCTCAGTCTTCCAGTCTGAAGTCTTTTGGTTTGATGTCTCTCAGTCTTTCAGTCTGATTTCTTTTAGTCTGATGTTTTTCATGGTTGTGTTAAGGGAATATTTAAATCATGAAAATTGTAGAAAAAAGATAGACTATGTGTTCACAGGATAAAGCACAATAATTAGAACAGACTGTTAGTCCACATAGCAACAAAGTTCAAACATTTGTGGTACAAACTTAGACAGCCTTTTTTCGTGGTCCTCCCGAGTGGCGGCAGTGACCGTGAAATGCTGTGGTGTTGTATTGAAGTTGATTGACGGTGCACGGATGGTGTAGCTCAGGCTGTACAGGTGAGGGGGAGGTTCATATCTTAGGTGACAGGCAAACTGGCGCTCCATGGATTCAAAATGTGGGAACAGGGAAAATATGTCAACCTCACCTGAAGAGGTAAGAGTTAGTTATGCATCAATAATTGGCTTTCTGGTAATGTAATTTAGAATTTCGGAAAACATTAAGTTACAATCTCATAATATATTTTTCAATGAGAAACTAATTCATTCATCATTGAAATGAAGTGAGCATGACAAAAATGTAATATATACCGGTACAAATCAAATTGTGCATAAGTGAAATTCAGCAAAAGTAATCAGACTTTCAGACATTTCTTAGCTTGATAAATTCAAAAACAATAAATCTGACTACAAGCCAAATCAGAGAATATATTTTAAAATTTAAAAAAAATAAAAAACTGGTCCAGATGTTTTAGCATGGCTAGTCCAGAGATTTGTTACCTGTGGCACATTCAACTGTGGGTGGAGGACATGCCAGGCTGTGATATTTTTTACAAGCACTCTGAGAGTAGCACCTGATCCCACAACACTGGTTGTCAAGGAGTTGAACTGTGGAGGTAAGACAAACTGATAGGTCATTTGACTTTTTAACTGATTACGTTTGCTTGTATTTAGTCAGAAATTAAAAAAGATGAAAATATTCTTCATGCAATAAATATCGAAAATATTTCCTAACACTGTCACCAGGAAAAACTTGCCAGTGAAGCTTATGATTCTGGAATCAAGTAAATTGTAAAAAAAATGAGCTTAACTTCCCCTTGAAAGAAGTGGCAACATTATTTCAATGTGGACAGCTTAAAGAACAACCTAAGCCCCACAAATTATGGACAGTCAGACCAGAGGTTTCTGAGTGCCCTATCTCTGATCCATCAATTCACCCATTCACTTTTTTTTGAGACAGTGTTTGACAATTTATGAACCGAGTTTTCTAGGTCATAGTTTTATGTGTCATTACAATCTTTATTAGTAATATTTGTATTGTCTTTATAACCTTTTGAAACAATATTTATATTTGATATACAATCTTAATCAATAATATTGATATTTTCCTTACAATCAGTCTTGTTCTCAGGCTCGGGAGGGCACACTGCCGCAGACAAACAGTTTTCACATTCCTTTCTGGACATCTCACATTCCTTGGTCGGGAACATGTACTCCTGCGTCGTGCGCTGTGAAGCCTGGAACACTCTGCGTAGGATTTCTGTTTCCTCTGTGCACACAACACTGTTTGGTCCATCTTTCAAGGGAGTCAGTTTGGACGTCTGGAGAAAATAATATGTTTCCTAAATTAGCCTGGAGATGAGTACGGCCTTTTTGTATAAGTCAAACCCTAGTGTTGAGAAACACTAAAGAGACCAACAGTTATGTATGAGTGAGGTGCATTAAGCAAGGAGGGGGGTGATGGGGGTAAAGTGAAGGGGTGTTAGCTTCCACTCTAATTGGGTAGATGTCAGATTTTTTTTCTGTATTGCCTGGAATATTAGGTTATTTAATGTGATCCAACACACTGCTTGAAGTAATCACAAGGATTTAGTTAGGAGTCTCCCTTAAGGGTGTGCCTCCTAAATTTTAACTCATGTGTGCACAGATGATTCACCATAACTTCAACATAACTCATGTCCTACTGTGGTCAACTATAATAGAAGTAACTGCTATTTGAGAACCTTTATTTTGTTGGCCAGTGAACTGTTATTCCAGAGATGTGGTAAGTGCATTTGACAATTTTGTTGTTTTAAATTTACTGTAATAAATTTGAGGCCTTAGTTTGGAATTGGTATTAAGAATTTGAGCATCTCCTGCAATAAACTTACCTAATAAATTACCTAATCATAAATGAAAATAATAACAAAATATCAATAAATAATAAAAAAGATATGTTGATATTTTTAATAATTATAATAAATAATTATAAATTGTTCATTAAGATATCTTATGTAGCATTGACTGCATTTAATGTGGACTTTGGTGGCTAACTCACATTGATATGAGGGCAGGCTGTGTTGATGTTCCACTGCAGGTAGCGGTCACCATCCTTGTAATGTTGTGGGCATCTTGGGATGGAAGAGTCTGTGGAGTCGCACCGCACAAGCTTGGCTGCTGATGTCCTGTTGGCAATGACCTCCAGCTGCAGTGAGTAGTGGTCAGGCACTGGGTGTCTGCCAGGGATGGGCATCAAAATTGTAAGCTTTTCACTTAACATCATTATAGAAATGCATTAATTTTTGCAGTTGCTATTGCAACTGTTTGGTGCTTTACAGCATAATTAGAATTGATTCGATTAATGATTGAGATATTGATTGAGACATTGATTGAGTCATTGATTGAGTCATTGATTGAGTTATTGATTGAAACATTGATTGATTTATTGATTGAGTCATTGATTGAGTCATTGATTGTATTATTGATTGAGTCATTGCTAGAGTCATTGATTGAGTTATTGATTGAGTCATTGATTAGGTTATTGACCGAGTCATTGATTGAGTCATTGATAGAGTCATTGATTGAGTCATTGATTAGGTTATTGCCTGACTCATTGATTGAGTCATTGATTGAGCCATTGATTGAGTCATTGATTGAGTCATTAATTGAGTCATTGATTGAGTCATTTATTATGTTATTGACCGAGTCATTGATTGAGTCATTGATTGATTTATTGATTGAGTCATTGATGGGGTCATTGATTGTATTATTGATTGAGACATTGATTGAGTTATTGATTGGGTCATTGATTAGGTTATTGACAGAGTCATTTATTGAGTCATTGATTGTGTTATTAATTGAGACATTGATTGAGTCATTGATTGAGTCATTGATTGAGTCATTGATAGAGTCATTGATTGAGTCATTGATTAGGTTATTGCCTGACAAATTGATTAAGTCATTGATTGAGTCATTGATTAGGTTATTGACTGAGTCATTGATTGAGTCATTGATTGAGTCATTGATTAGGTTATTGCCTGACTCATTGATTGAGTCATTGATTGAGTCATTGATTGAGTCATTGATTGAGTCATAGATAGAGTCATTGATTGAGTCATTGATTAGGTTATTGCCTGACTCATTGATTGAGTCATTGATTGAGTCATTGATTGAGTCATTGATTGAGTCATTGATTGAGTCATTGATTGAGTCATTGATTGAGTTATTGATTGAGTCATTGATTGAGTCATTGATTGAGTCATTGATTGAGTCATTGATTGAGTCATTGATTGAGTCATTGATTGAGTCATTTATTATGTTATTGACTGAGTCATTGATTGAGTCATTGATTGATTTATTGATTGAGTCATTGATTGAGTCATTGATTGAGTCATTGATTGAGTCATTGATTGAGTCATTGATTGAGTCATTGATTGAGTCATTGATTGAGTCATTTATTATGTTATTCACCAAGTCATTGATTGAGTCATTGATTGTATTATTGATTGAGACATTGATTGAGTTATTGATTGAGTCATTGATTAGGTTATTGACAGAGTCATTTATTGAGTCATTGATTGTGTTATTAATTGAGACATTGATTGAGTCATTGATTGAGTCATTGATTGAGTCATTGATTAGGTTATTGACTGAGTCATTGATTGAGTCATAAATTGAGTCATTGATTAGGTTATTGACCAAGTCATTGATTGAGTCATTGATTGAGTCATTGATAGAGTCATGGATTGAGTCATTGATTAGGTTATTGCCTGACTCATTGATTGAGTCATTGATTGAGTCATTGATTGAGTCATTGATTAGGTTATTGACTGAGTCATTGATTGAGTCATTTATTATGTTATTGACCGAGTCATTGATTGAGTCATTGATTGAGTCATAGATAGAGTCATTGATTGAGTCATTGATTAGGTTATTGACTGAGGCATTGATTGAGTCATTGATTGAGTCATTGATTATGTTATTGACCAAGTCATTGATTGAGTCATTGATTGAGTCATTGATTGAGTCATTGATTGAGTCATTGATTGAGTCATTGATTGAGTCATTGATTGAGTCATTGATTGAGTCATTGATTAGGTTATTGACTGAGTCATTGATTGAGTCATTGATTATGTTATTGACCGAGTCATTGATTGAGTCATTGATTGAGTCATAGATAGAGTCATTGATTGAGTCATTGATTAGGTTATTGACTGAGTCATTGATTGAGTCATTGATTGAGTCATTGATTGAGTCATTGATTGAGTCATTGATTATGTTATTGACCAAGTCATTGATTGAGTCATTGATTGAGTCATAGATAGAGTCATTGAGTGAGTCATTGATTAGGTTATTGACTGAGTCATCGATTGAGTCATTGATTGAGTTATTGATTGAGTCATTGATTGAGTCATTGATTGAGTTAAATAAATACATCAAATAATAACAATGACAATAAACAATAAATCAATAATTGGTTTCATGGGACCAGAAGACCCAAATTTGGTAAAGATGTTGAAAATGATGTTTCAAAGGTTTCAATGGCTCAAGAGGGTGGGAGGGGTTGATTATATTCTATGTGTTACAATACTTGAATTTTATTTAAGACTAGCACACATTTAGAGCATGAATTAATAACTTAATTGAATTTATCTTTTAATTAGTTACCTCATAGGAATTCTGAAGTGCTTTTTAATAATAGATCTATATGAATCATACTTTAAATTTAAGTCATTCCTGCAACTTTGATTTCACTAATTAATACTTTACCTGCAGTAGTTATTTTGAACATAATTATAATATTGTTTCATGGCCTGACTTGGCTCATTCAACTTTTGAAACAAAGCAGTATCATCAACCGCCTCCAGGTCATGGTAGTCAGGGACAAGAAACACCCCTGAGATGCTGACGGCAATGTCTAGGCCGGATTGGCGTGGCCAGACGAAGTCTAGACTCTGCTGGTTGTTTGTGATGTACATCGGAGTTTCCAGAGCCTCCATATTGATGAGACGCTCCATGAAGATGTTGGGGGAGTAACTCACAGATATCTTAATGCCATCTGCAAGGAATAATATCAGGAGGTTATTAACTGTAACTTGAAGAAAATTTATTAAAAATGTAAGTAGTGTCTGTGGCAGAGCTATTTCTGATGCACTATATTACTCCAGGGATTAAAGTATGCTTGAAAATGTTCTGGTTGAAAAATTATGTTTACAGTAATATCATTATTTGACCAATTCATATTGTTATACAGACAACAGGTCTACATCATCTTTCCCAGTGAATGAACTTTAGCTGACCCCAAGATTCAACAGCTTGTTTGGGTGTGGCTAATTAAAATAGTCTCCCTTGACCTTGTTTACAAATAAATAAAATCTGTCTTGTGTAATATTAGAATTATGTAAGAAAAATCGAGAAAATTCAAGAAAGGAATAAAATGTGCAAACCCGTTCTAAAATATCCCTGAAACAGCCCATATATATACGCCTAGAGAGATTGAGTGACAGAAGGAAGAGAGATATATTTTTGCTATCCCTATTGATATTGCGATAGAGATTTGCTATACGAGACAGAGATTTGTTTACTAACATTTGCTGTGTGTGTGTGTGTAGATTCCTTTTTCATCATGTTGTACCTTTTACAACACTGTATCTTCTTCAACATTGTACCGGTACAAACAAATCATACTGTAAGTTAATAGCTTTAATTTTATTTCTTTTTGATTTTGTAATTTATTATTAACTTGATAAAATTATTGTAATAAGCCCTAGTTTGGGTATCAGTTTCTTTGTTATTGTATTTAATTTATGGTATCGTCTTTTGTTGTGTACTGTTTTAGAATGAGCCATATACTTAAATAAGAGAATAATTTCTCCATACTCATACTGATAACAGTACGTAACAAAATCTTTAATGTTTGTTTCTTTTTGTTTTTTTTCAAACAGGAATTTAATTTTTTTTTTCCACTAATGATCATTTTTAACTAATCAAACAGACCAGTAAAATCAAAATATGAAGCTAAAGTGATCTAAGCATCAGCTTAATTATTTCATTCAGTGAGCAAGAAATATTTTTAAAAACTTAATGATAACAGAGGCTCACCTGTAAATTATTTGTTTATTGCTTTTCCTTAACTAACTGTAGCTACTTACCATCGGGTAAATGTGATTTATTGCCAGGAAGTATGCCAACAGGAAATGACACATCTATTAAAGAAAAACAGCAATCAGCAAGTGCAGATGCAGATGTAGATTTTAGGACCAAAAATAAAACGGCATGTACTTGAAAATTTAAGAGAAGAAAAATGTTGGCCTATATCTCTATTTTATTATTTTGAGGCAGTGCCTATTTCAGCTAACTAAACCAATCACAAGTTTTTGATGGAGATGGTTCTTTGGGTTTAGGGTTTTAAGGGTGGCGGCTTTGGGGTTTAAGAGTGAGTTTTTATTTTTACAAGGAGTAACTAATATATTTTTTAAGCCGGCCTCTGTAAGAGATGAGGACAGACACAGACATAAGCTTCTATGGAGGAAATAAATTTACATGACATTATAAATATATAATCAACTAAGTACCAGTAAACTGCTTTAGTACTGAATATAAATAATATATTTAGGGACTGAAATTGATACACACCAGGAAACAAACAGAACATCAATAAAAGACAAAGTGAAATTTGCACAGTCTATTTCTTCAAAGGAAGCTTTATACCTGATCTATTTCTAAGGTAAGTAGTGCCAAAAGTTACAGTTAAATTTTCTAGGGCAAGAAGGCTGTTTTTTTAAAATGATGTGTATATCATATGGATTTCAAGTTGTATATTAAGAGTGGATACAGTGACTTAGTAAAGGGGTGTGGCCGGTTGGGGGAGGGGGCTTTTTTCCTCTTATACTGAGGGTGCACTTTCTGCCACCTGCAGAGTTTTTTTTTTCGTGGAAGGGGGGACGCAAAAAGCTTATACCTTAATTTTCATTTGATAGAAAGGGTGAACACTTACCAATACAGATTGTGTCCCTGTGAGTGTTGCACTGTGCTGCTGCATACTGTGTTTTACCACAAACTGTGCATGCTGTTAGATAATCACAAAAAACAGATTTTCTAAGATTTCTAATATGATGTCCCAAATCTATTTCTGAGATTCTAAAATCTCTAATGCAAAGCTACAAATCTTTTTCACATAATCTAAGATTGTTAAAAATGTTCAGATAACTTACGCTTGCATATGGCATCTGAATGACCAGAACATGTGGAGACCAGGAAATGGTTGGCTGGACACCGACTCTTGCACTCTGGGCAACATAAAAAATAACAACACATGAAAAATTATAGGACAGGGAAATCAATTTTGAACAATGAATTTATAATAAATTTTTTTTAACTACAATTGAATTTTAAAATCAAGTGTTAAATTATAATTTTAATCACAAATGAAATTATGAAAATACAAAGAGTTTTCACATATAAATAATGTCTCAAAACTGATACATAAAAATATCATTCATTAAAAAAGGGAACATAAGACTAATGACATAACATAAGACTAATGACATAATACTAATGATGTGACATGAAACTAATGACATGACATATGAAATAATAAAAATAATGTGACATGAGACAAGACATAAGACATAGACTCAGTTCACACCATCAAATTCCTTTTAAAATTTTGTTCATACATTTAATGCAATTTTGGTATGCAGCTGTGTCACAACTTTCAAATTATGATTTGATCAAATTCTCATTTTTGTCTAAAAAAAACCAAACAAATTAAGCACAAAATAGTGCATTCATAAAAAAATGTGATGCCTCTTTGAAAGGAATTTGATCTTGTGAACTGACAATAATGATGTGACATAAGATTTATGATATCCTAATTATATGATATGGACTAATGACATGATGTAAGACTAATGACATGAAATAAGACTAATGACATAACATAAGAATATTGACATGACATAAGACTAATGATGTGACATAAGAAAAATGGAGTACCGTGACATTGCCATTCCTTGAAGTAAAACCCTGTCCTACATCGACAGTTGACTGACTGGTCAGTGGCAGCATCACATACGACACTTATCTGGCAGCTCCTCAAGTCATCTCTACATCTCTGAGTGTCTGCATCATGGCAGTGGGGGGAGGGGGGGGGGGTTGCTAGGAAGAGAAGGTGAAATTATTTCATGGAATAACTTTGTAAAAAATTTTCTTTTAAAATTAATTGATTTTATAGTGGCAGCATCACATACGACACTTATCTGGCAGCTCCTCAAGTCATCTCTACATCTCTGAGTGTCTGCATCATGGCAGTGGGGGGAGGGGGGGGGGGTTGCCAGGCAGAGAAGGTATAATTATTTCATGGAATAACTTTGTAAACAATTATCCATTAACATTTATTGAATTTAATTTGTTGATATCACATGAAATTTATAGCTTGAAAAACCCTGTTGAAAAGTCAGCTTATTAAAAAAACTAACAGAATTCATAAAAAAAAATAGCAAAAAAATATATGGGAAAAAATTGCATAAACATACCAAAAAAATGTTATAAATTGCACTTTGTAAAATATTTTGTAGAATTCTGGTGTATAAAAATATTATCAGGAAGAGGTTATGTCTTAATGCAGTTTAGGCCAGGGATTCCTGGGCTTTTAATGGGATGGACTGACACATTGAAGATAGCGACCGGTGCCCACTCAATTAATTTGTTTTTGTTTTTTTCAAGTTCTGAAATTTGTTCATCTTTTAAGGTCGCCAGCAAAGTTTGGGTAGATACCATTGGTTTATGGGTAGATACCATTGTTTATGGGTAGATACCATTGTTTATGGGTCGATACCATTGGTTTATGGGTAGATACCATTGTTTATGGGTTAGTAGATACCATTGGTTTATGGGTAGATTCTATTGGCTTATGGGTAGAGAGCATTGTTTATGGGTTAGTAGATACCATTGGTTTATGGGTAGATACCATTGTTTATGGGTAGATACCATTGTTTATGGGTAGATACCATTGTTTATGGGTAGATACCATTGGTTTATGGGTAGATACCATTGGCTTATGGCAGATACCATGTGGGGTAAGAACCCAAACGCCCTACACCTGGGTTGGTCAGCTAAAGGACCATCATCATGGAAGTGCCTGACAGCTGTCACAACTCACCTAACAGTTGTAGTCTAGAAACAAGGGACAAACTGGAATGGTTTCTTGAGAGTTGGGTGAGGTCTGGGAAATCTGAGAACATCCTTACTTTTCCTGTGGACACACAAACGGTTTATGACATCAGTTGTTAGAGTTGATACCTTGAGAACAGTAATGGTTTATGGCATCAGTTGTTAGAGTTGATACCTTGAGAACATTAACGGTTTATGGCATCAGTTGTTAGAGTTGATACCTTGAGAACATTAACGGTTTATGGCATCAGTTGTTAGAGTTGATACCTTGAGAACATTCAACAATTATTTGTTTATCAATGAAATAAGACATTTAAAGTATCAAGGACAAAACAAATATTTTAATTGGAAAATATTGGTATGAAGAAACAGGCAAATCTGTAACTGTAAGCAGGAATACAAAATACACAGTTTGTAGTGATATACACTTCCTAATCAAACACATATACAGCATACTAAACATACAAATTCCCTGTCAACCATGTCTACCACATAGTAATATACAAGTTCTAGAAAAACACCCGTTATAATGTGCATTGTAAACCTTATGTCCTAATAAACATACACCTTATGACCTATTGTGTAATGTACAACTTACATCCTAATGTACACCCTACAACCTATTGTGTATTGTACAATTTATGTCCTAACGTTAAACTTACTACCTAATGTTAAACTTACGTCCTAATATTCAACGTATGTTCTATTGTGTATTGCACATCTTAAATCCTTATGTACAAATTTCATTCTGTGTATTGTACACCTTAGGTCCTAATGGGCATACAACTTATGTCCTATTGTGTGTTGTACAAATTATGTTTTAATGTGCATATCAATTATGTCCTATTGTGTAACATACACCTTATGTCCTATTGTGTAATATACACCTTATGTCCTATTGTGTAACATACACCTTATGTCCTATTGTGTAATATACATCTTATGTCCTATTGTGTAATATACAACTTATGTCCTATTGTGTAACATACACCTTATGTCCTAACGTACAACGTACATCCTAGTGTATATGATATTACGTCATAATATGCATTGCACGACTGACGTCGTTATGTGCATTTTTCAACTTACGGAAGGTATTAGAAGCTGGGAAGGTGACATGGAGGGTGGGCTTGGTGCCTAGTCTGGACACACCCACCACCACGGCAACCAATAGCAACGTAGCGAATAACAAACAAGCCACACCCCGAAGTCGGGACCTCGTTCTGATAGGAACTTTGGTCGCTTTCGGTGACGCCTGGCTGTAACAGTGACAGGGTCTCTTTTGGTTTGTCTCCCTTGGTCTTGTTGGTCTCCCTTGTATGGTGTGTCTTATATGTTGAGACATATTACCAATAGACGTTTCCATCTGAGAAAATAACATTAGCAGACATATTCAACCAATGGATGAATGTAATAGTAATTGATGAATATAGATTCGACAGATGTTAAGTTAGACAGACTTAGTGAGACTAGCAAGAAGGTGACCAACCGATGGGCAGGCTGCGTGTTTAGAGGCTAGACTCACAGACAACACTCATAGTTAGACATACGCCCATTTAGACACTGAAGGATACATAGACATGCACATAGGTAGTCAAGAACTGACTAGTTCAGTTCATAACTAGATGAACGGACAACACGCATAGTTTGACAGACCTATTTTGACAGACACGCGGATAGACAGAAACATGGTAATGCATTGCAGAAAGACATTGATACACATGCACATAAAATGGTATACACAAGACACATAGGAACATTAAGACAGCATACATAAAGACACTGAAGGTAGACACAAATAAAGACAAGCACATCTAAGACAGACACACGGAGCAGTGTGACAGGTGACTTCCAAATATAGTCTGACATTCACGCTAAGCAGTAATGGCAGGTCACTTCCAAATATAGTCTGACATTCACGTTAAGCAGTAATGGCAGGTCACTTCCAAATATAGTCTGACATTCACGCTAAGCAGTAATGGCAGGTGACTTCCAAATATAGTCTGACATTCACGTTAAGCAGTAATGGCAGGAATCGGATGAGAGGGAAAAAAATTCGCAAACCTGTCAAATCCATCACAGTTTAACATTTTTTGCGTTACCTTACAGTTGCCGGAGTTGCACCGTAAAGTTGCCGGTGTTGCACCGTACAGTTGCCGGCGTTGCTCGGTGCGTTTCGAGAGGCTCAACCTGGCTAATTACTGTAGCAGTCTAAAAAGCATTATTAGCACAAAATTGTTTTTCTTTGAACACGCCCTTTCCTTGGCTGATTGCCTCAATTCACCTGCCCCGCCCTTATCCACTTCCGCTACAGCCGCGTGTAGTTAAGGTCAATTCAAGGTTAAACTCGCCTCTTCTGTCATTCATTTTCTGTACGATTTCTCTCCCCCCCCCCCACCATACCCCATCCCATCACATTGCTGTAACGTCGCACGTGCCCCAATCTCTCAATGCATTTACGTGAACGGTGGAACATTTGATTGGCCGACTGTCTTTTGTCCAAATGTCCGGATAAAACGGATAAAAAAGACCGCGTAGTCCGTTGTCTTGTCAGGAAAACTGTTGTTAAGAGGACATTTATTGTACATGAATCTGATCGGCGTACAGTTGTGTAAAAGCCTCGCACCCCTGTACACGTGATATTATCCTATTTGCTCATCCGTTAATTCTTTAATATGTTGAGAACACATGAACACATTTTGTGTTGTATGACGTCAAATGGGTTCATCCACCTGGGAATGACTTCATATATGTTGATGACTGCTCCTATGACGACATATATGTACATCCGCATGGGAATGGCTGTTGTAATGACTGTTCATATGACGACACATATGTACATCCGCCTGGGAATGGCTGCTGTAATGACAGTTCATATGACGTCACATATGTACATCCGCATGGGAAAGGCTGTTGTAATGACTGTTCATATGACGACACATATGTACATCCGCCTGGGAATGGCTGTTGTAATGACTGTTCGTATGACGTCACATATGTACATCCGCCTGGGAATGGCTGCTGTAATGACAGTTCATATGACGTCACATATGTACATCCGCCTGGGAATGGCTGTTGTAATGACTGTTCCTATGACGTCACATATGTACATCCGCCTGGGAATGGCTGTTGTAATGACTGCTCAATAAGCGCGTACAATAAAACTCCAAATCCGTGGCAATTAAATTGATAAAAGATGGCGAATCCTAATCTACTAAATAAACGTCAGTGTGAATGTTTTTATATGTGTGTGTGTGTGTGTGTGATAGCGAGAGAGAGAGAGAGAGAGGGGGGGGGAGAGAAAGAGAGGAAAGCGGGAGATTGTGAAAGAGTCAGATAGAGAGGGAGAGCGCGGGAGAGATAGAGAGGGTGAGAAAGGGCGTTATACCCTGGAGAGAGGAAGAGAGAGAGAGAGAGAGAGAGAGAGAGAGAGAGAGAGAGAGAGAGATTTAATAATAGCAGGTCATTGGTGCGATTTTTATAGATACCGTGAAAGAGATTTAGTCAGTGATTTAAATAAAGCTATGATCTATGTTCACAGAAAAGAGCGCTTTCAAAAGACTACCCAATGGCGTTGATGTCACTTAATAAACTTCCCGATTAGGTCGCTAAAGAAATTCTTAAAAATACCGTGAGTCTAGCGTTACTTAAATGCATGTTTTGACAAGTGACTCTAGCGTTACTTAAATGCATGTTTTGTCACGTGACTCTAGCGTTACTTAAATGCATGTTTTGTTACGTGACTCTAGCGTTCCTTAAATGCATGTTTTGTCTAGTGACTCTTGTAGATGGGACGTTCACGGGCTACAGCAATGATTTGAGATAATTCTTTTAACAAAAGATTCGCTGTTCAATGCAACCATATTCTTGATATACACGGAAATACGTGATTAGTCTTATTCCCACCATTTGAAGAAACTACAGATCATTGTGTACGGGATGGGGGTGGGTCTTTAGAATTATGACATAGTTCAGGGGCGTGTTTAAGGTGTGCATTGGCGTAACTAAGGGTTAAACCCGGGGTGGGGGTGGGGGATGGTGTGATCTCTTATTAACTTACATTACCAACCTATAGAAGGTGTTTCTGGAAGAGGCATTCGCACGTTTGTGGTTCAGCCCTAATCAGCATTCAGTCGAAAAATACGTCACCAAACAGGAGGCCATTTTATGAGTATAGCAATGTATCAAGGCACAATGTGTCAAGGCACAATGTATACAAGACACAATGTATCAAGGCACAATGTATCAAGGCACAATGTATCAAGGCACAATGTATCAAGGCACAATGTGTCAAGGCACAATGTATCAAGGCACAATGTGTCAAGGCACAATGTGTCAAGGCACAATGTGTCAAGGCACAATGTGTCACAGCACAATGTATCAAGGCACAATGTATCAAGGCACAATTTATCAAGGCACAATGTATCAAGGCACAATGTGTCAAGGCACAATTTATCAAGGCACAATGTGTCAAGGCACAATGTGTCACAGCACAATGTGTCACAGCACAATGTATCAAGGCACAATTTATCAAGGCACAATGTGTCAAGGCACAATGTGTCAAGGCACAATGTATCAAGGCACAATGTGTCAAGGCACAATGTATCAAGGCACAATGTGTCACGGCACAATGTATAATGTATCAAGGCACAATGTGTCAAGGCACAATATATCAAGGCACAATGTGTCAAGGCACAATGTGTCACAGCACAATGTGTCACAGCACAATGTATCAAGGCACAATGTATCAAGGCACAATGTGTCAAGGCACAATGTGTCAAGGCACAATGTATCAAGGCACAATGTGTCAAGGCACAATGTATCAAGGCACAATGTGTCACGGCACAATGTATCAAGGCACAATGTGTCAAGGCACAATGTATCAAGGCACAATGTGTCAAGGCATAATGTATCAAGGCACAATGTGTCAAGGTACAATTTATCAAGGCACAATGTGTTACACACGGAACAATTTCAGTCTATAGTTCATGCCCCTTCTTAGCATTCAAATTATGTATTTGTTTTACAATTATTATAAGCTTCTTAAATGCCACACACATAAAGCTGCTATCTAATAGGTTATTACTGACATTAGATCGTGAAAAATAGTGGAACAAGTTATGTTTGTTTCACATAATGGTAAATGGGTTAATGCAGCGGTTCTCAACCTGTGGGTCGGGACCCTTTTGGGGGTCGCACGACCCTTTCACAGGGGTCGCCTAAGACCATCTAAAAACACATATACTATACAGTTATATCGTATCAACAAAAATATTTTTGTTATTGGGGGTCGCACAACATTAGAAACTGTATTAAAGGGTCGCTGCATTAGAAAGGTTGAGAACCCCTGGGTTAATGGATCTTGATCAAACGACATGCATAGTAAATGGAACTCATATTCAGGGCGCCCTAATTTCATTTATGTATATATATATATATAAATGAAATTAGTGCGCCCTGAATATGAGTTTATATATATATATATAAATGACCTGATGTTATCGGGATAATAATGGTGGACACTTTGTGATAATTCCTATCTGCTATTGCAAAAACTCATTACAATTCCATATTTTAAAAAGATGGAAATATATGGGGGGGGGGGAAGTATGGGAATACCTGTATAAAGAAGTCAACAAACAACGAACGTGTCGGCAAGTAAAACAGTAAAAACAGAACACAATAAAAATAGATACTGAGCTGAAATGTAGTAGGCCCCCTATCCGAGAGGTCAGCAAGAAAATCTGTAGAAAGATGTTTACGTTTCGAACATTATTAAGTTTTGAGAAGTATTTCTCTGCTATTTATCAAACGCCTAACGTACCACTTTTCGAGCCACTGAACTACCAGTTTTTTCCCCCTAGAAATTGTTATAACATGACCTTAAATTTCCAAAAAAAAATCTATATGCCATTTCAAATATATTTGACATTACTGGAATTCGATATCTTTTGGTATCTGCCTTAAAAGTTGAACCAAAACTTTTGCCTCTTTTTTTTTTAAAGGAAAATCGAAAAACACAGAATTTGTTTATTTTAAAAAATCTCTTAACCAATTTTCTAATCTGTAACAGCCTTTTGTGTTGTTTTTTTTTTTTAAAGAAATATTAATCTCATAAAACTTTACACCCACTTTACTTTTCCTAAAGGGAAACAAAAATATTTTTTTCATATTTTGAAAGACAATCTAAACCAATCTTTTTTATGACCAATAACTGTAAAGGAAAAAAAAAATGTGGTTCTATTTTTAAGATTAGATTTTCACATGTGTAAAATTGTTGGGTTTTGATATGTTTATATGAGGTATGGGTATACTTATGTAGACGTACCCACGGTTTGTCAACGCTATTGAACTGTATTTTGTTAATTTTTATATTAAATATTTATTTGTAAAAAAAATGAACACCTATTTTTCGTGACAGTAATATCATTGGATTTAAAGATGGCGTAATCCACGTCGAAATGTACCCACTCTATTTACTACCCCCGATTAAAAAGTTAATTAATTATCAAATTTATTCCTCTATTCTCATGCGTATCTTGTGCTGCCTGGGGCAAAACGAAAGTATCGAATTCACCACCCCCCCCCACACACACACACACACACTTTTATAATTACAAAGTTAAAAAATCATTCACGGGATAGCAGCCCCCCCCCCCCTTTACGTGGCGCTACCACACCATTTTTGAACGCCTCTCCCTGAACTTAATTCAAACTCTCAAGTCCCAGATCTCTTTTACCAGACACTGTTTTATATTTTATAAAAATAGTATAGACATAATTCTACGCGTAATACCGTATATTGAAATGTTATGTTTGTTTATTTTAATACTGTATTTAGAGCTATGCCAAACTTCAAATGTGTCACATAATTGGGTAGTAGGATATAAATACCAAGATGAACCAATTGCAACTTCATCTGGTTTGTTCTTATTTGGATAATTGATACTGTATTACGTTAATTAGTGAGTGCTATTTGGCTATAAAGTTTCGCTGCACTAATCGACTTAAACGGCATTTTCTAATTAAATGTACTCTTAAAAGTTAAGTTTTTATTACTTTATAAATTTGATAACAGCTTACTTTTGGACTGAAAAATAAGTAAAAAATAAGTAAAAATCTATTCAATGTTAACAATACAAAGCTAGATCTTGGTGCTTGGTTAACAATTTAAAAAGCAGTTAAATTATTTTTATCAATTTTACTTTTGCTGCCCACAGATACTACTTACCAGCTAAGTGCTATTTCTTATTTTTATACCGTTTTTTATGTTGTTTTGTTCACTGACGAAGGCTTTCTGCCGACACGTTCGCCGTTTTGTTGCGTTTCTTTTTTCAGGTTTAACCCTACTCTGTTTTACTCATTATATTGTGATATTGTGACCATATTCAAATAAAAACTAAATGTTGTGATATGATGACCATATTCAAATATGAACTAAATGTTGTGATATGATGACCATATTCAAATATAAACTAAATGTTGTGATATGATGACCACGTTCAAATACAACCTAAATGTTGTGATATGATGACCATGTTCAAATATAACCTAAATGTGTGATATGATGACCACGTTCAAATATAACCTAAACGTTGTGATATGCTGACCACGTTCAAATATAACCTAAATGTTGTGATATGATGACCATGTTCAAATATAACCTAAATGTTGTGATATGATGACCACGTTCAAATATAACCTAAATGTTGTGATATGATGACCTTGTTCAAATACAACCTAAATGTTGTGATATGATGACATCGTTCAAATATAACCTAAATTTTGTGATATGATGACCATGTCCGTAACTCGGAAAACAGCCGATACATTTTTTCATTGTTTCATTTGAAATGTGCAAAATGCAACTTGATTATGGTGAACAAGTGATGACATTTCTCTGCATATACAGGCCACCTCCAAATAAGCAAAATAAGTTGAAGATCTGTCAGTTTACTGTGGAGTTTATACAGCTCCTTGACATGTATGCCACCAGCAACAACAATGTCATCATAATCGGCGACATAAACTGCCATTTCGACTCCACCACCGACAGCTACGTGAAGACCCTAAAATCAGCTCTTGACACACACGGAATGACTCAGCTTGTCAGTGTCCCGACGCAGAAGCGAGGTCACATCCTAGATTGGCTAGTTGTCAGAGAGGACCGGGCAGCTATGATCCAAAACCTCATTATTGAGGACAAACTTATTTCTGATCACTTCCCAGTCGCCTTCGACTTTGACTTGAGGAAGCCAGAACGCCTTCTGCGATTAGTAACATCCCGAAACCTCCGACAGATAGATCTAGCGGCCTTTAGAAGTGACGTCGCAGCCCTTGAGTGCGGTTTAGATGACCCTGCTAAAGACTACAACAGTCGCCTCAGAGTCATTTTAGACAAACATGCACCACTGTCCACACGGCGAGTTACGGACCGCCCTTCCGCCCCTTGGCTCACGCCCGAAATTAAGGAAGCGAAGCAGAAGCAGCGACGTGCAGAACGCCAATGGCGGAAGTCGGGCTTGACTGTGCACCGACAAATCTTTGTTGACCACAGGGAAGGAACCAAGAGGTTGGTCCTTGCAGCTAGGACTGAGTATGTTAGTCATCAGATTACAGGCAGCGGCTCAAGCAAGGACTTATTTCGCATTGTAGGTCAGCTGACCGGTAAAAACAAGGCTACATCTCTGCCAAATAACATTGCTGTAGAAGAGCTGCCAGACGCTCTAAATGACTACTTTATTACAAAAGTTAAGAGGATCAGAGCGAAACTTGACAGTTGCATCGATATTGCTCCAGAATTCTCAATATTCAACGGTTCTTCTATGGCTGAATTTGTTGAGGTCAGTGAATCGAATGTGAGGAAAATCCTCGCTGATACCCCAAGAAAGTCATGTTCGCTTGACCCTCTTCCAGCAGGGCTCTTGTATGAATGTCTGGATGAAATAGTCCCCATCATCACTTATATTATAAATCAGTCCTTAACTACTGGTATTGTTCCATCATCTTTTAAAGAGGCAATCGTTACTCCACTATTAAAGAAATCAAATCTTGATCCAAATGTGATGGAAAATTATCGCCCCATCTCAAATCTACCATTTATTTCTAAAATCTTAGAAAAAGTCGTTCTCCGCCAACTCCAGGATCACCTCACTCAGTTTAACTTGTTTGAACCATTCCAGTCAGCATACAGGGTGCATCACTCTACTGAGACAGCCCTGTTGCGCGTCGTAAACGACCTTCTGTCGTCTTGTGATGAGGGCAAGGTATCGATTTTGTCTTTACTCGATTTATCGGCAGCTTTCGATACGCTCGACCACGGCATATTGCTCCAGCGTCTGCAACAAACGTTCGGTCTCACTGATACCGTCCTGTGTTGGTTCCGATCGTATCTGACTAATCGGGTGCAGTCAGTTATTTCAAACGGCTTGACTTCGAAGAAATCTAATATCGAATTCGGAGTACCCCAGGGCTCGGTCCTAGGCCCAGTGCTTTTCACGATGTACATTCAGCCACTGGGCGCAGAGATCAGGCAGTTTGACATGTTGTATCACATGTACGCGGACGATACACAACTTCATCAATCCGTGATCCCTTCTCAGTTCCCTCAGCTGCTCAGTATGACACAGAAGACAATGGAGTCGGTTAAGCACTGGATGACGATAAACAAGCTCAAATTAAATGATGATAAGACTGAGCTGCTCCCCATCGCGACCGCTCAGAAGCAAAAATCTGCAAATAACACTACATCCATTACTCTCTCAGGTGTGCGTATTGAGTTAGCTCAAACAGTGCGGTACCTGGGTGTCTACCTAGATGGAAGACTAACTTTTGAAAGTCATATTAACATGCTATGCAAGGCGATTTTTCTAGAGCTGCGCAGGATTAGTCACATCAGGCCCTTCCTAACAATTGATGCAACAAAGAGGCTGATGTCTGCATTTGTGCTATCACGCATGGACTATTGCAATGCTCTTATGGTGGGTCTTCCAGCTACGCTCCTGGATAAAATTCAAATAGCACAGAATAATGCGGCTCGCATTGTTCTCCGCAAACGCAAGTTTGACCATGCAAAAACACTTCTGAGAGAGCTGCACTGGCTGCCAGTGCGTGCTCGCATGGAGTACAAAATCGCAACTTTGTGCTACCGCTGCTTACATGACCTGGCGCCGTCCTATCTGAAAGAGCTGCTGACGCCTTATGTACCCACTAGAGAGCTCCGCTCATCCGATAGTGGCAAACTCTCGACACCATGTGTTTGCCTTGAGACTTACGGAAAGCGCACTTTCGCATTTGCTGGTCCACTAATTTGGAACGCCCTTCCTGTCGATCTCAGAAACAACCAGACACTGGAGTCCTTTAAAACCGATTTAAAGACACATCTATTTCGCAAACACCTTCTGGGATGATTGTCAACATTATTTTCCAGTTAATGCATAATGGCTGTGTTGCTTATGGTTGAAATGGCTAGAAAGACTTTGCCATTGTATGCTTGTACTTAGTTTTTGTCGTGTTGCGTTTGTTTTAAATGTGGTAAACTATAGATTTGTTTTTTGTTGACTTTGTACCGCGCTTCGAGCCTTTGGGGATGAAGCGTGTTTTTGAAATGAACTTTATTATTATTATTATTATTATTATGTTCAAATATAACCTAAACGTTGTGATATGATGACCACGTTCAAATATAACCTAAATTTTGTGATATGATGACCATGTTCAAATATAACCTAAATGTTGTGATATGATGACCACGTTAAAATTTAACCTAAATGTTGTGATATGATGACGATATTCAAATATAACCTAAATGTTGTAATATGATGACCATGTTCAAATATAACCTAAATGTTGTGATATGATGACCATGTTCAAATATTAACTAAAATTTTGTGATATGATGACGATGTTCAAATATAACCTAAATGTTGTCATATGATGACCATGTTCAAATATAACCTAAATTTGTGATATGATGACCACGTTCAAATATAACCTAAATTTTGTGATATGATGACCATGTTCAAATATAACCTAAATGTTGTGATATGATGACCACGTTCAAATATGATCTAAATCTTGTGATATGATGACCATGTTCAAATATAACCTAAATGTTGTGATATGATGACCACGTTCAAATATAACCTAAATGTTGTCATATGATGACCATGTTCAAATACAACCTAAATGTTGTGATATGATGACCATGTTCAAATATAACCTAAATGTTGTGATATGATGACCATGTTCAAATACAACCTAAATGTTGTGATATGATGACCACGTTCAAATACAACCTAAATGTTGTGATATGATGACCATGTTCAAATATAACCTAAATGTTGTGATATGATGACCACTTTCAAATATAACCTAAATGTTGTGATATGATGACCATGTTCAAATATAACCTAAACGTTGTGATATGATGACCACGTTCAAATATAACCTAAATGTTGTCATATGATGAAAACGTTCAAATACAACCTAAATGTTGTGATATGATAACCATGTTCAAACATAACCTAAATGTTGTGATATGATGACCACGTTCAAATATAACCTAAATGTTGTGATATAATGACCACGTTCAAATACAACCTAAATGTTGTGATATGATGACCACGTTCAAATATAAACTAAATGTTGTCATATGATGACCATGTTCAAATATAACCTTAATGTTGTGATATGATGACCACGTTCAAATATAATCTAAATGTTGTGATATGATGACCATGTTCAAATATAACCTAAATGTTGTGATATGATGACCACGTTCAAATACAACCTAAATGTTGTGATATGATGACCATGTTCAAATATAACCTAAATGTTGTGATATGATGACCATGTTCAAATACAACCTAAATGTTGTGATATGATGACCACGTTCAAATATAACCTAAATGTTGTGATATGATGACCATGTTCAAATATAACCTAAATGTTGTGATATGATGACCATGTTCAAATATAACCTAAATGTTGTGATATGATGACCACGTTCAAATATAACCTAAATGTTGTGATATGATGACCACGTTCAAATATAACCTAAATGTTGTGATATGATGACCATGTTCAAATATAACCTAAATGTTGTGATATGATGACAAAGTTCAAATATAACCTAAATGTTGTGATATGATGACCATGTTCAAATATAACCTAAATGTTCTGATATGATGACCACGTTCAAATACAACCTAAATGTTGTGATATGATGACCATGTTCAAATATAACCTAAATGTTGTAATATGATGACCATGTTCAAATACAACCTAAATGTTGTGATATGATGACCACGTTCAAATATAACCTAAATGTTGTGATATGATGACCATGTTCAAATATAACCTAAATGTTGTGATATGATGACCATGTTCAAATATAACCTAAATGTTGTGATATGATGACCACGTTCATATACAACCTAAATGTTGTGATATGATGACCACGTTCAAATACAACCTAAATGTTGTGATATGATGACCACGTTCAAATATAACCTAAATGTTGTGATATGATGACCACGTTCAAATACAACCTAAATGTTGTGATATGATGACCACGTTCAAATATAACCTAAATGTTGTGATATGATGACCACGTTCAAATACAACCTAAATGTTGTGATATGATGACCACGTTCAAATACAACCTAAATGTTGTGATATGATGACCACGTTCAAATACAACCTAAATGTTGTGATATGATGACCACGTTCAAATACAACCTAAATGTTGTGATATGATGACCATGTTCAAATATAACCTAAATGTTGTGATATGATGACCACGTTCTAATACAACCTAAATGTTGTGATATGATGACCACGTTCAAATATAACCAAAATGTTGTCATATGATGACCATGTTCAAATATAACATAAATGTTGTGATATGATGACCATGTTCAAATATAACCTAAACGTTGTGATATGATGACCATGTTTAAATATAACCTAAATGTTGTCATATGATGACCACGTTCAAATACAACCTAAATGTTGTGATATGATGACCATGTTCAAATATAACCTAAATGTTGTGATATGATGACCACGTTCAAATATAACCTAAATGTTGTGATATAATGACCACGTTCAAATACAACTTAAATGTTGTGATATGATGACCACGTTCAAATATAACCTAAATGTTGTCATATGATGACCATGTTCAAATATAACCCTAATGTTGTGATATGATGACCACGTTCAAATATAACCTAAATGTTGTGATATGATGACCATGTTCAAATATAACCTAAATGTTGTGATATGATGACCATGTTCAAATATAACCTAAATGTTGTGATATGATGACCACGTTCAAATACAACCTAAATGTTGTGATATGATGACCACGTTCAAATATAACCTAAATGTTGTGATATGATGACCACGTTCAAATACAACCTAAATGTTGTGATATGATGACCACGTTCAAATATAACCTAAATGTTGTGATATGATGACCACGTTCAAATACAACCTAAATGTTGTGATATGATGACCACGTTCAAATATAACCTAAATGTTGTGATATGATGACCACGTTCAAATACAACCTAAATGTTGTGATATGATGACCACGTTCAAATATAACCTAAATGTTGTGATATGATGACCACGTTCAAATACAACCTAAATGTTGTGATATGATGACCACGTTCAAATATAACCTAAATGTTGTGATATGATGACCACGTTCAAATACAACCTAAATGTTGTGATATGATGACCACGTTCAAATATAACCTAAATGTTGTGATATGATGACCACGTTCAAATACAACCTAAATGTTGTGATATGATGACCACGTTCAAATATAACCTAAATGTTGTGATATGATGACCACGTTCAAATACAACCTAAATGTTGTGATATGATGACCACGTTCAAATATAACCTAAATGTTGTGATATGATGACCACGTTCAAATACAACCTAAATGTTGTGATATGATGACCACGTTCAAATATAACCTAAATGTTGTGATATGATGACCACGTTCAAATACAACCTAAATGTTGTGATATGATGACCACGTTCAAATACAACCTAAATGTTGTGATATGATGACCACGTTCAAATACAACCTAAATGTTGTGATATGATGACCACGTTCAAATACAACCTAAATATTGTGATATGATGACAACGTTCAAATATAACCTAAATGTTGTGATATGATGACCATGTTCAAATACAACCTAAATGTTGTGATATGATGACCATGTTCAAATATAACCTAAACGTTGTGATATGATGACCACGTTCAAATACAACCTAAATGTTGTGATATGATGACCACGTTCAAATACAACCTATATGTTGTGATATGATGACCATGTTCAAATATAAACTTACAGTGACAAGAATATACCTATAGATCGTTCATAAATGATGCTATAGTTCAAGGTCATGTTAGTTTCATATCAAGTTAAAAATGTTCCCACTATATAAAACAACTTTAATACTTTACATTTGCAGTAGAGTTGTAAGGCTTACCTCCTAGGTATGAGCTTTGTCTCAAGTAGAGTTGTAAGGCTTACCTCCTAGGTATGAGCTTTGTCTCAAGTAGAGTTGTAAGGCTTACCTCCTAGGTATGAGCTTTGTCTCAAGTAGAGTTGTAAGGCTTACCTCCTAGGTATGAGCTTTGTCTCAAGTAGAGTTGTAAGGCTTACCTCCTAGGTATGAGCTTTGTCTCAAGTAGAGTTGTAAGGCTTACCTCCTAGGTATGATCTTTGTCTTAAACATATATTTAGCCCAGACAATTTTAAACGTATAGCTTAAACCTTAAGACGCTAAATTTTAAAAATTTCTAAAATTTATAAATGGTCTAGAAAAATTGATTAAACCCACACTTGTGGAATCCATCAATGGTCGTTTTTTGAGCAAGTCAAAGTGAGATTAAAGAAATATCATTAACAGCTCTAAACAATGTCATATTTCTCTATCAATGACATGTTTCTAAAAATAAACAAAAAAAAAATTCTTTATTAGACAATATCCATAGAGAAATGTTCTATTCTCAAACAGACATTTCTCATATTATCGTGCCAGCCACACTCCCCTAGATTTCTCCTAAAACCATAAATCCGACATCTCCTGGGCACCAGCCCCCACCCCCCCCCCAGACCAGGGCGCAGAGTCCGGACAAGTTATTGGCCTTGATTGGGATCGTACCCTCCTGACTAGTTGAAGTTGGCTCAACTGGTCCAGATTCACGTAAATGTTCTATTCTCAAACAGACATTTCTCATATTATCGTGCCAGCCACACTCCCCTAGATTTCTCCTAAACCCATAAATCCGACATCTCCTGGGCACCAGCCCCCCCCCCCCCCCCCCCCAGACCAGGGCGCAGAGTCCGGACAAGTTATTGGCCTTGATTGGGATCGTACCCTCCTGACTAGTTGAAGTTGGCTCAACTGGTCCAGATTCACGTGATCTCTTCGATAGTCTTAGCTCACATGCGTTTGTTTATTTTCGTTTGTCATAACCGCGCGTCTCCTTCCCTTGCCATCACAACCTAACAACTCCACCCCCCCCCCACACCAACCTCTGGGTACACACCACAACGTGTTTGACATTTCCCCCAACCCGAGGCGGCCACAGCTATTTACTGTTGACGTGGTTAGTTAGACACGTTTAAATCAATAACTCAGCAGACATTTCAAATTTAATGTCAAGGGGCCGTAGAGACAGGGAGTAACGGAAAAGGGGGGGGGGGTGGCTTCCCCCCCCCTGCCCGGCTGGTTAAAAAATTAAAACCTAATTGACCCCCCCCCCCCGCCTACCTGTAAACAGTGATACTCACTACCTGTACGATCTGGGACGTTCATTATTCCAAGATTTGATACGGTTTCCTGCAGGTGGATCAAATGTGTCGCAACAACCACCCCCTCCCCACCCTACTTTTTCCTCCAAAGTGTAGGGGCTTCCTTTCGGAAATGATTGAACAACTGATCAAGTCGCTTTATTGAAGTCTTTTTACCAATCCAGAAATGATTGAACAACTGATCAAGTCGCTTTATTGAAGTCTTTTTACCAATCCAGAAATGATTGAACAACTGATCAAGTCGCTTTATTGAAGTCTGTTTACCAATCAGGAAGAATTTTGTTACATTAAATACTTTATAAGATAAATTGGGACGGTGATTAGGCGAATTTGTTTAGAAAGATTTGTGGTGGTGGAGGGAGGGGTGGAGAAGTGGTGGTCTTCATTGTTGCCCATATAGTATTGTTACATCTATAATAATAGTTCTGGAGTGGACCTTGTCCACCCCAAGGGAGTTAACGAGGAAAACATTTGTAACAGTTGTTGAGATATTATATTAAATTCCTTCTATTTTTTTTCTCCACTTAACAGCTTAAGGGCTGGAAAAGCGACTATTGGTTGCTCTACATTTCGTATGCTTACCGACTTTGGGTTTTTGGGTTGCTCTGATCTCTGACTGGTATGGACTTAAGGTATTTATATCGTACGCTCATTGGCAGGGTTTTTGAACCCTCACGAGGTATTCTGTGTATGATGGTAATTGAAATCGTACGTTCATTGCAGCTTACAAGCCATCGTAAACAGCATCAGTTCCCGTCACTAGCCACTCTTTACAGAGTCTATAGAACTAGCCATTAGTGGCTATATGGAGTGCCATCTGGAATTATTAGCAGAATTTCGCACCTGTTCCCGTCTTTCACACGCACAACGAGGTAACGTTTCCACAGCTGGTCGAATGTAACGTATGTTAAATTTATATTTACATAAATAAAGATGGGTTGTCTTAATAACATACACACTTGCAAGATTGTATTCTCAACCCCACTCCACTTACGTCAGCTGCCGAAAATAAAATCTTTACAACCCCCCAACCTATACACCATCTCAACATTAATCTCATTGTCAACCACCACACCATCTCATCATTAATCTCATTGTCAACCACCGACCACCCTAACAGCCCGGTCCAATAATCTTTATCAATCCCCCCCCCACACACTTCCCACATTTGAAAGAAGGGGTGTCGTGGAGGAGGTGGTCAACCCCGGGCTGACATCTTTTTCTTAGTTACATTCAGGGGTTGCATTTTCGGCCATCTGGAGAGCTGTTTCGTGGGGAAAAATCGGGGGGGGGGGGGGGGGGGGGGGGAAGGGGGGGGGGGGGGGGGGTGGGGACGGGGGGACGACAAAAAGCTTATCTCCGTTCAGGCGGCACAACCCCTGGCTCCTCCGATGCTCCACACCCACAACTAATTCATGACATTCCTCTACATCCGACAAATCACTCCCCACCAGAGTAAGACACTCTCACGGCTTACACGGTCCACTGGTTTTGTTAGGATATATGGCTATGATATCGGGTACAATCATCAATAAACTAATGGTAGTAAATGAGTCATTTCGATTTTTTAATATAAATTTTGCTTTAAGACTTTAAAAAAAAAGATATATAGATCTATATTAAGACATGGCGTGTCCTGGTTTCGTTTTGGGGGTTGTTTACAATACCCCTCCACCCCCCCCCCTCAGACAACATAGAAGTATCAGAAGCAGAAATGAAGTGTGTAGTTTTAAAGGGACGTCGCGTGCATTCTAAGAATAGATCTGACCAATATAGATTCATTCTAGACGTTACACATTATTCAGTAGTTATTAATTACAAGTGAGCACGTCCCATTCACCCCCTCCCCAATGCACTACAGGGAAATGCGTATGAAGAACTTGGCCGAATAGTTTGGTTAGGGACACCTGCCTACTAAGGAAGGCATGACTATTTCTGGCCATGGCCACGGGCCGAGGCGCGCACGACAACATGGTTACTTCATCAGGATGATGAACAGGAAGGCCCGCCACCATCTTTTGTTTTAATACCCCCACCCCTGACGATCCGTGGAGATTTAGGCCACTAAACGTCACTCTAAAATAATAAAGCATCATTTAGTTTAATGCCACCCCCACCCCCCCCACACGGGGGTTAAATTCTAGATGTTGATGGTTTGTCAAAGACAAGGGGAGAGAACAATTGGGTTTGTGTTAGTGTGTGTGTTGTGTCTCTGTCCCTACGGGGTAAAAAAACCCAGAGAATTAAGCCTACCCTGGTCTGTCCCTACAGGCAACAATCAACAGAGAATTAAGCCTACCCTGGTCTGTCCCTACGGGGCAACAATAAACAGAGAATTAAGCCTACCCTGGTCTGTCCCTACGGGGTAACAATAAACAGAGAATTAAGCCTACCCTGGTAGGTCCCTACGGGGTAACAATAAACAGAGAATTAAGCCTACCCTGGTCTGTCCCTACAGGCAACAATAAACAGAGAATTAAGCCTACCCTGGTCTGTCCCTACGGGGTAACAATCAACAGAGAATCACGCCTACCCTGGTCTGTCCCTACGGGGTAACAATCAACAGAGAATAAAGCCTACCCTGGTCTGTCCCTACGGGGTAATAATCAACAGAGAATTAAGCCTACCCTGGTCTGTCCTTACGGGGTAACAACAGAGAATCACGCCTACCCTGGTCTGTCCCTACGGGGTAACAAACAACAGAGAATCACGCCTACCCTGGTCTGTCCCTACGGGGTAACAATCAACAGAGAATCACGCCTACCCTGGTCGCGTCTTCCTCACACATCTCCTTGGCTTCCGATTGAGATCGCATTTCTTCTTTCACCGGCGCTGCTTTCCCTTTCTTTTCTTGAGTTTGTTCCCTTTGAGCGTCTCCATGTTGGCCCTGCGTGAAGAAATAGAATATGTCTATTAATAGGCATCCCTTGAGTCGGGCGCATGAAAACCGGTTTAGAGTATCGTTGTTAAAATCTGTTACATCTCACAGGACGGCGGGAATGTTGCACACCCTGGGAGATGCGGTGAGCTGCGGTGAGGTGCGGATAAGTGCTCAAGACCGTAATTAAATGTCAAAAGAATGAACTTTTATTTGATCAGTAATAACACAATCCCAAGATGAGCTCGCCTTGTAGATGGGTGGGAAAGAGATGTGGTTTGATGGGATAGAGATGTGGGTGGTTGGGTTGGAGATGTGCGATGGAGATGTGGGTGGGGAAGGGGAATCAAAGATGAGGAAAGAGGGAAATAAGTTTTCCAACATCTTTTTCCTCACTGTATATTTTGTCCCAATCGATCGCAGTATTCCTGTTATTGTTTAAATGCTACCATGCCCCCCCCCCACACACACACGACGCAGAGAGATGTCGTCACACAGTTCATTCGTTCAGCTAATTTCTTAACAACTATTGCCAACTTCATGAAAATTGAAATGAAATGGATTAGGCAGTGAGCGTAATCCACATTAATGTGTGTAGTCATATGTATGTAGCCATGAATACGGTCAAATATATGTAGCTATGAATGAAATATACGGTCAAATATATGTAGCCATGAATGAAATATACAGTCAAATATATGTAGCCATGAATGAAATAAACGGTCAAATATATGTAGCCATGAATGAAATAAACGGTCAAATATATGTAGCCATGAATGATATATACAGTCAAATATATGAAGCCATGAATGAAATATACAGTCAAATATATGTAGCCATGAATGAAATATACAGTCAAATATATGTAGCCATGAATGAAATAAACGGTCAAATATATGTAGCCATGAATGAAATATACGGTCATATATATGTAGCCATGAATGAAATAAACGGTCAAATATATGTAGCCATGAATGAAATATACAGTCAAATATATGTAGCCATGAATGAAATATACAGTCAAACATATGTAGGTATGAATGAAATAAACGGTCAAATATATGTAGCCATGAATGAAATATACGGTCATATATATGTAGCCATGAATGAAATAAACGGTCAAATATATGTAGCCATGAATGAAATAAACGGTCAAATATATGTAGCCATGAATGAAATATACGGTCATATATATGTAGCCATGAATGAAATAAACGGTCAAATATATGTAGCCATGAATGAAATATACAGTCAAATATATGTAGCCATGAATGAAATATACAGTCAAACATATGTAGGTATGAATGAAATAAACGGTCAAATATATGTAGCCATGAATGAAATATACGGTCATATATATGTAGCCATGAATGAAATAAACGGTCAAATATATGTAGCCATGAATGAAATATACAGTCAAATATATGTAGCCATGAATGAAATATACGGTCATATATATGTAGCCATGAATGAAATAAACGGTCAAATATATGTAGCCATGAATGACATATACGGTCATATATATGTAGCCATGAATGAAATAAACGGTCAAATATATGTAGCCATGAATGACATATACGGTCATATATATGTAGCCATGAATGAAATAAACGGTCAAATATATGTAGCCATGAATGACATATACGGTCATATATATGTAGCCATGAATGAAATAAACGGTCAAATATATGTAGCCATGAATGAAATATAC